TTCAAATCAAAATAAAGATGAGCTCAAATGGCTTATATCACTTATATATATATATATATATATACACATATATATACACTTAAAGGTGGCCCAAACACACCTTAACGAATCAGATGAAATAAGTTTTTAATTATACTTCCCAAATGATTCCAAAATTTCCAATTAACCTATCCAGGTACACCATTTCTATTTCTGAGCCTATTTAGGCCATCAATTTCAGAGTCCAAGCCGAAATTACACAAAATAATTCATTCTGAATCAAAATTTTACCAAAATTCATATTAGACTCTAAAAATCATGCTGATCATATCTATGTGGTCGGTTTTGATTTATCGCGCCTCTAAAGCTTTCAATTTTCAGTCTAAAGGGCGTAATTTCAACAAATTTTCTTATAACTGACAGATACAATTCCATAATCATGCAATTCACACGTTTAAACATGTAATTTTACATCAAGCATATAATCACACATAATTAAAGACTTAAAGCATATGAGAGGGTCGTGTTGTCACAATCAAGGTAATAAAGCCATTTCTAAATATTCAAATGAACATGGGTACGTATTGGTTACAATAAATTATTTCACCAAGTAAGTGGAAGCTGCATCTTATTTTATGCTTAAGACATCACATGTAGTTAAGTTCAACAATAGGGCAACCCCTTACTCTTTAAGTTATGGGATGAAGGCAGTCCTACCCATTGAAGTAATGGCAAAATATCAAGTAAAGAAAGTTGATTAACAGATGAATTGGTTTGAGAAGTTGATTTTTTTTTATGAAAGAGAACTCAAAGCTTTGTACCACATTCAGGGATATCATAAAGAGTTGTGAAAGCATTCAACAGGAAAATTAGGCCAATAAATTTGACAGAATGAGATTTGGAGCTCTCATTCATAATCCTAGGGGCAAGTTTAGACCAAATTGAACTAGGTTGTACATCATTAAGACTCTCTTGATCAGGAACAACAAATTTTATGGACTTGGATGGGATCGAGTTTCCATAACTAGTCAACATGAACAAATTGAATAAGTATTACCCTTGAGAGACTCGCTAGGTAGAAAATCCAAAAGAGCGACTTCGACAAAAATTAAAGCAATCAAAATGAAAATGAAAAAAATAAAGAGCTCGAAGGGCCAAGAGGGAAATTGGTATGTGGAAAATAGAAAATTCCTAAATTGATTGGTTTTTTTTTTGGGGGCGAAAAATTATTGAAAAGTCCTATTTGAAGAACTTGTTAACTAATAGATGCTATGAAAACACTTATGATCCAATAAATCCTATATGTTTGGAATTGTGTTCCACAATATCCCTTTTTTAGAATTAGATATTTTTTATTACAATTTTACCCTTGTTTTGGCCAACATATTTATATCACAACTTTCTTATTTATGTTTTGAAGTTTTAAAATTTCGTAACTTTCAAAATACATATCCGTTTGTGAAACATCAAAAAACATCTTAATTGAATACAAAATTATATAAAATGAAAAAGTAAAAGTTTTATCTTTTGGATTTGAAAATGTGAAATTTTTTTCTTTTAATAATTCACACTATTTTAATGTGAATGATTACACTTTTTATGAATAAAAATATTAGATTTTAGAAAGTGTGAATATTCAAATTTTCAATAAATAAAAATAATGTGAATTTTTAAAAGAGTGAATATTTTTTGAAAAGTGTGAATATTCACACCAACTTTTATACTACAGAAAATTAATGATATTTTGTTTATTAAGTGTATGAATATTCACATTGTGAATTTTTTTGAAAGTTGAATACTCACACCAACCTTTATGTTGCTAAAAATTTATGATATTTTATTTATTAAGTGTATGAATATTCATATTGACAATTTTTATATTTAATTTTTTTTCTTCTAAAAATATATAGATTTTGATTATATATATAAAATAAAATAAATTAGATTAGAGAAATTTTCTCTTACAATCAAGTTTGGATTTAAGATTGCATTATCAAATTTGAAAATATATTAAAAGGGGAGGGCTTTGGTCATTTTGAAAGTTATGAGACTAAATGGAACATCAAATTATGAGTAAGACCAAATAAATTATAAGTTATAATTTTGGGATTTATGGTAGACCCCTTTCTTTTCTTTTTTTAATAGTATCAACGAGCTTGTTTAGTTGTGGGGAGAATTCAGAATTTTGATTTTTTTATTTTTTGTATTTTTATTTTTTTAATATTTTAAGAATTTTTTTATTTTATTTTTTAGGTATATCTAGCGGTTGTTTGGCATGTGTGCTATTTTAGCACATTATTCTATTTAGGTCACAATCATCTTATTTAAATCATATAATATCTTTACCACATCACTTCAAACTCAACTCATATTTCACATTTTTTGTAAACAATAAAAAGGTATATTAATCTAGTACTTTCCAAACAACTCCTAATTTAGTTACACTTAAAAAGTACAAAATTTGTGAAATTTTTTTAAAAAACTCATTAAATACGAAAAATATAAAAAAAAAATACGAAAATTCAATATATATTCATATTTTTCTTACATTTGTTATATTTTTTTTAAATTTCTTCACAAATTTTATACGTTTTAAGTACACCTAGATTATATGTATCTAAAAAATAAAAAAAAAAAATTGACTAAAATATTTTTTTTTAAAAATCTACAAAAACCTAACGTATACGAATTCAAAACTCAAAATTTATTTTTGAAGACTCAAGACTAACAGAATAATATTGCCCATTAAAATATAAAATAAAATAAAAAAAAATCTCACTCTCTCGTATCCTCTTACAATCATTTTATTTAGTGTGTTTGGTTTGAATTTTCTGAATTAAATTTTTTAAAAATTGAATTTTTTGTTTTTTGTGTTTTTTTGTTTTTAGTAAATGTTTTTAAAATTTTAAGTATTTTTTTTACTTTTTTAGATGCACCTCACTTAGATGTGTCTAAAAAATAAAATATTTGTGAAAAAATATTTTAAAAATTCAATAAATATACAAAAATATGAAAAATATATTTAATTTTTCTAATTTTTTTATATTTTTGATATTTAGTAATTTTTTAAAAAAAAATTCATAAAAATTATACTTTTTTTAAGAGGTTTTTTTTAAGGTCCCTGGTATTAAAATTTTATAGTATAAAGGTCATCTAATATTTTCATAATGTCTAAGGTCCCTCGATTTGATCCAGAGAAATTTCATCCGGAGAAATTCTGGACTTCCAAAAAATTTCTCTGGGTTCAACCTAGAGAAAATTCAAATTTCTCTGGATTCATGTTGACCAATTTTCTCTGGGTTCAAATTCAAATTTCTATGGGTTCATTTATAACCCAGAGAAATTTATTTTAACCAATTTTCTCTGAATCGTAAAGACACAATATTATTTTATGAAATCATTTGGACCAATTTTCTCTGGGTTCAAATTCAAATTCAAATTTCTCTGTGTTCAAATTCAAGTATTGTGGATCTATTTCATAATCAAAAATAGGAGAGGACCTTAGACCAATTTCTTTGAGTTCAAATTCAAATTCTTTCTCCAGATAAATTCTTTGATAGTCGTCGTCGTCATCATCATCATCATCTTCTTTCTACATCAAATAAGTAGTTGTAGCAGTACCATGAAAGCCATATAAGCAAGAGCACTTTGATAGCATCAACACAAATGCACAACAAGATAAATGATTAACTGGAGGTAACATGAGGCAATAACGAAGCTTCCAGAGAAATTTGAACAACCAGAGCAATTTGAACAACCTAGAAACCTACCAGAGAAATTTGAACAACTTAGAGACCTACCAGAGAAATTTGAACAAACCAAAGATCTACCAGAGAAATTTCAACAACTAGAGACCTACCAGAGAAATTTAAACAACCAGATAAATTTGAAAAAACTCTCAAATTTCTAATCTGACTTCATATTTTTTATGCTAACAAGAACTCGTTACCTACCCTGCAAACCCAAAAGGAGGTAGAAATCCCAAAGCATTACCTCCCAGAGAAAGAATTCTGACTAGTCCCCTCTTGAGCCCAAGCACCACCGACATTCGGCAAGCCGTCATGCAACACCAAATCAAAGGCTTGACAGCCATTCTCAGCTATAAAGCCGCTCGATAGCGGCTCGACACTGTGGCTTAGTGATGTCTTCTTCGACGTCGATGGCGTCGCGAACGGAGTGAATGTGAATAAGGTTGACGTCGATGACGAGGCTGCCGACGGGGATGCGCCCGACGGAGACTTGCATCCAGCCACCGGGGGCAGCGTAGAGGTCGAGAATGGCGCGGGAGGAGTGGAGGAAGCTAGACTTGAACTTGCGCTGGATGAGCTTCCATGCTGCGCAAGATCTATAGCCGTGTTCTTTTGCTAGGTGGTAGTCTTGTCCAAACGATGCTTGCCCTTGACTTTGCCCATCTCTTCTATCTAGGGTTTTAGAGAGAGAGAGATAGAGATTGGAAGTACCACTCTGCAGTAGAAGAGGAGAGACAGAGAGTCAAATTTCTTTGATATGACATATGGTGTGGGTTTATGAACCTTAGACATCAAAAAATAATATTGTGGATCTCTTCCATTACTAAAAATAAGAGAGGTACCCTAAACTAATTTTTTCTTTTTTTTAATTATATTTATATTAAGTATGTTTAAAATTTTTAAAAATTATTTTAAGTTAAAAATTTTAAAAATTACTTTAAATATTAAAAAAATTAGAAAATAGAATTTTTTTATTTTTCTTCAGAAAACTCAAGCAAAGTATTTTTTCACCGTCTCAGCAATTATACAAAAATCTAGCCACGAGAATCTGATAGGAGGACGATCAGAGTCGTCGCCGATAAGTTGAAGCCCTAACTCATCAAAGCTGGGATTTGAGGAGGAATTAAAAAAAAAAAAAAATACATGAAACTAAGTAAAATATATAATATTTTATTCACATTTCATATAACTTTTCTTTTCAAATCACTCTTCAAATATTCTAACCTAACAAGAGTTAATAAAATGCTAAGATTGCTTTGGTCAGGGAAACCCTAGTTTCGATCAATACGGACGCTCTCTGCAACGGAAAAAGGCATGCTCCTACTTATTTATTTATGTTTTATTTTTGATTCATTTTGTCGGTTACCACCCACAAATACACACTCGCATATAAACATTTGTACAGGTATATATCTAAAAATTGAATCTCCCTTTTCTCCGGTGCCTATTTCTTGATGTCGACGAAGAGGACTGTTTCGGGTGTCCCGCCGGACTTGACATCAAAGAAATCAGGGATAGAAGAGGATTCTATATACTTGCTTTACTTTCATGAGGAGGGTCCTGTTGGATATGCCATGTACAGGATTAATGTTGGTACTTTTTCTATCGATGAAAATGCCAGTAACAATGCTGTAGCGATCAGTCCTGTACTTGAATTACCGAGAGCCCATTATCCTAGGTTTATGGCTGCTTTTGCAGTGGGCTCTAGAATTTTTCTGATTGGGGGTGAAATAGGAATAGACATTGGGGGTGAAATAGGAATAGACGACGATGACTACGACGACCGCGACAAGCCAACTGTGCGTCTCTCTGAAATGGTTTATGTTTGTAATACCGCCTCAGCCTTGCCCTTGTCAGTTTTCCAGGGAACTCCCATGAATGGTGGGAAGACATTTCCCATTATCATCCCTATTAATGAGATGATATATGTAATTTCAGAATTACCTACCTTGTACACTTATCTTGACGAAGATACTACACTGTTCGAAGTTTTCGACCCCAATGCCAATGAAGGAAAAGGAAAATGGTCTTCTTTGTCAAACCCTCCATTCTATCCTAGTTCCTGTGATGATTATGGTTGTGGGGCTTGGTCTCGGTCTCATGTAAGCAAGATTGTTTCTCATGCTGTCGTCGAGTGTAAGATCTTTTTCTGTACCACTAGAAAAGATCACATGTACGCGTTTGATGTTAATTGCAACACATGGGAGCGTTTTGATATATATAATCCGATTGGTGAGGTCCATTTTCCTTTCAGAGATGGAGCAATGTTGATATCTGACAAGTCGTGGGCTGCCACAGGTGCGTACTCTGAATCTCTGGTATGCACTTATGATCTCACAGCAGAATTTGGATTTGTTAGGAAGAATGTTGAAGATCTTGAGGCCATTACATCTTCTAACCCACATCTGGCTTATTATGTGATGGACTATCAACTGCTTGACTTATCAAATGGATGGTATTGTCTTCTCCAATTCGGCACCGATGATGAACACTTTCGTAGAGGAAATCAATACATTTTTGCTTCTGTATTACGCCTGGTCAAAAAACGCATGGATGATGTGTTTTTTAATGATGTATATCCTTGGCCATGTCACTGTAAGCCGTTGACCAAAGATTCTTGTGACGTTGAAAAGAGTATAGGGCAGATTGAAGTATTTGGTGCTACAGACCTGCACAACTCTCTGTTTTCTATTGGGGCCAAAAGCTTCATGACGGTCTTAGTCGCTTGCTTCCCCATGTAAGTTGCTTCTACCCCTTCATATTCTTTTGGTCTAGTCTTTATTTAAGTTGCTTTAGTTGCTTCAACCCCTTCATAGCCACAAATGGAAGCTATATGCAGTAGTATTTTTTGGACTAGTCTCTATTTCCCATCTTCTTTTTCTCAGTTCTCACTTTTTTTGTTTCATTTTTCTTATTCTGATGTGCTCTGCCTTTTCCTTAGATTGTGTCTACATTTGTTTGCCATACTAATTGGCATTCTGTCCAAAAACTCTGCATAAAGAACACCCTGAAGGCGTCCAAGGATAATGAACATTATGACAGTGCTCTCTCTATCCACTTCCACTTCCACTTCAATGAATATTTTAGCCTGTTCTATTTATTGCCATCACATTAGTAGATATAGGTCTTCCAACAACACTGGCAATATAGCTAAGACCTTTTCTATTTATAGTTTCAAGGGGATGTTATAAAATTGAGCCCATACTATTACTTTACAGAATCATTGATCTCTCTGCAAAATGCCGAGTTAAAAAAAAAAAAAAAAAGTAGTAGCAAAAATGCCAAGGTCCACTCTCTAATATCCGTTTGTGAGTTCCCTTGTTGAACTCAAAAACAAAGAAACCCTTTTCATTTGATAGAACATATTTTTCTCATATTCTTGTTGCTAAGAAATATTGGATAAGACAATTTTTCCATCTTAATGAACCCTTGTTCTTCTACTTCGTGAGTAGTAGCTATCCCTTTGCTTTCAATAATGGATGGAGGATAATAAGAGAAACTCCTATGGTTTTGCTGAGCATTACTTTGAAGGAACAAATCTTTCTAATTATTAGGTTTTTGGTTTGTATAGATTTCTTAATCTCCTACCTTTTTTGTTTCCCATGTTTGAAGAAGAGATCTCATTATTTATCCCATTCTATACAACCTTGCCATATGATTTTGGATTACTAGTACTTTAAACTTGCAATCCCTGTTTTGTCATTCCTTTCAATTTTCTCTTTCATCAAGGTCTCTCCTTAACTGAAGAATTTCATTACATTTTGGATTACATTTTTGCGATTTTCATCACAATAGCTCCAAATCAATTTTTTCCATAAAAATGATTGAGAATAGCAAGAAATCAAAATCAAGATGATTCACTCAAATATTCTAGGGGGAGAAAATTTAGAATGAGAAGCTTCCAAAATTGTTTTCCATGTGTGCTTTTGATTCCTCCTATTGTAAAAACAAACAAATATCAAGCTGAGATAAGCAGTTTCCTTGTTTTTAAAAGTTCGTTGTGTGCTATGTTGCATGGACTCGGGTATGGTTGTCAGGTGCAAGTATGTATGCAGAGGTCGGACTCATCAAACCGTAAATTTAAGGGTACTTGGACTCAGCAAAAAAACAGTTGTAATTATATATTCTTAATTTATTATATGAGATAAAATGGTGTCAAGTGTAACATATAGTGTTAAAAATCCATTTTACTTAATTATACAACAATATATACATATAATGATAGTATTACATATAAATTGTTAAAACCTATCACCTACTTCACCCACTAAACCTAACCCACTACACCACTACCACCTCACCTACTCCACTAAACCCACTACACCACTACCACCTCCACTTCACCTACTCCACCTACCACCTCCACTTTACCTACTCCATCTACCACCTACTACCACCTACTCTTCTATATATAGGAATCATTGTAACATTCAATAGATTAACAATAACATACAATCAATCAATAATACAATTCTCTATTTCTCTTTATACATTAAATTTCTACATGGTATCAGAGCCATAAGATTTAAGCCCGTATTTTGTTTTCTCACCGGCGGGCAGCCGGCCGGCAACCTTGCCTTCGCTGCCCGCTGGAATTTTGTACACATACCTTCACTTTCCTGCCTCTTCCAACTTTCTTACAACTGTTGTCCCATAGATGGGCTTCATATCTACCAGTCCATCTATGCCTTGTGACACCTCTATACTGTGAAGTCCTCTGTCCAAATGCATCAATGGACTTCCTATGGACAACCTGCTTCTGATCAAGCTTCTCAGACCCTCTTTTCTTCCCCTCCTTGAATGGTGTTTGGTACACCTCATGGCCTCTAAATGCATAGTAATCTGAGTATTGCTGGGCTAATAACGAAGGCCTCTCGAGCAACTGAGATGGGGCTTCATATTCCCTTGCCCATCCAGTATCCATAACCATCACTTTGTCACAGTCCATAACTGTGGGTATTCTGTGAGCTATGCTGATTATTGTACACGACACAAAGTCCTCGTGAATGATTTTCTGAATGACAACATCGGTCTGGGAGTCGACAGAAGCCGTTGCTTCGTCCATAAACAGAATCTTGCTGTGTTTCAGCATGACTCTCCCCAAGCACAGAAGCTGTCTCTGTCCCACACTCCAATTGTCTCCGCCATCAACCACTGATGCATTGAGTTTTTCAGGCTTTGCAGCTACAACATCTTTCAATTGGCAACGTTCAAGACTCTTCCATATTTCCGAATCTGGACAGAAATCATCACATTTCTCACCTTTTTTTTCTTTTTTTTGTCCTCCACTTTACACCTCACATGCCTTCTCTCTATCTAAACAATAATTTTCCACCATCTCCCTCTTTTTCTACACAATATTTTTGTACCACCGCCCACTCCATGATACCAATATTATTATTATTATTATTATTATTATTATTATTTTCACAAAAAAAAAAAATTCATTCCAGTTGATTTTTCTGCATTACCACACCTACCATTCGAGTTTGCTTCTATTAGGGAAATATATTTGTTTAATTGATAACTTGACCAACTTTGTGATTAGATAGCCTGTGTGGTATCTGTTGTACTTGCGGCTGTTTCTTGTTCTCATAGTTCTAGTTGTCCATGCTTGGGTGCATGTATGTGCACAAGCACTGTATTAAATTAGTTAACATGAACTTGCCTTGTTTTTTCAATTTCATTATTGTTTACTCAGTCCTTGAGTCATAACTAGTTGTACGCCGCCGAGCACGTTCACTCCCCCATACTCTTCCACTGCAGCATATGGCGGACCTCCAAATCGGAACATCACGGTGGCCTTCCGCTTCAGCTCCTTATTTTCCGCCTTTAGCACACTTATCTCTGCTCGCGCATCCTTATACATGCGCTGGAGCAGAGCCAGCTGGGCATTTAACTTCGTGAGTAGTAGCTATCGCTTTGCTTTCAATAATGGATGGAGGATAATAAGAGAAACTCCTATGGTTTTGCTGAGCATTACTTTGAAGGAACAAATCTTTCTAATTATTAGGTTTTTGGTTTGTATAGATTTCTTAATCTCCTACCTTTTTTGTTTCCCATGTTTGAAGAAGAGATCTCATTATTTATCCCATTCTATACAACCTTGCCATATGATTTTGGATTACTAGTACTTTAAACTTGCAATCCCTGTTTTGTCATTCCTTTCAATTTTCTCTTTCATCAAGGTCTCTCCTTAACTGAAGAATTTCATTACATTTTGGATTACATTTTTGCGATTTTCATCACAATAGCTCCAAATCAATTTTTTCCATAAAAATGATTGAGAATAGCAAGAAATCAAAATCAAGATGATTCACTCAAATATTCTAGGGGGAGAAAATTTAGAATGAGAAGCTTCCAAAATTGTTTTCCATGTGTGCTTTTGATTCTCCTATTGTAAAAACAAACAAATATCAAGCTGAGATAAGCAGTTTCCTTGTTTTTAAAAGTTCGTTGTGTGCTATGTTGCATAGACTCGGGTATGGTTGTCAGGTGCAAGTATGTATCCAGAGGTCGGACTCATCAAACCGTAAATTTAAGGGTACTTGGACTCTGCAAAAAAACAGTTGTAATTATATATTTTTAATTTATTATATGAGATAAAATGGTGTCAAGTGTAACATATAGTGTTAAAAATCCATTTTACTTAATTATACAACAATATATACATATAATGATAGTATTACATATAAATATATAAGAAGTGTCCGATGAAAATTATTGGACACATATCCCACACCCTTGTCCAAGTGTTGGGTGTCAGTATTTGATTTATTTTGAAGAGTTCATGTAACATAGATTGTGTATATATCTGTGTAGATGTATAAACTATTAAATAGTTAGTCATTTAAACTCTTGTTATTTGCATAGGCAAGCAAAATAGTGTAGTTCTTAATTTTTAAAAATGAAAATTTTAGATGAATTCTTTGGAGCTCCCACAAGACTCAATAAAATGTCATTTTGTGTTAATATACTAGTGAATTACCTGTGCCTAAAGGCACTACCAACACAATCTGACTGCAAACCACCCTCTCATTGAAGCACATGATTCTTTGAAACCATAAAATTTGATAACGAAATGAACTCATCCTGGTAATAAAAACGATCAAAAGAACATTAACAAATGCATGAATTCTTCCTATGATATCTTTAAAGCACATGATCCTACGGTTTGAATCTGAACAATGGTGTGTTTGGTAACGTTTACGTTTTCAGTTTACCAACACAATCTGACTGCAAACCACCCTCTCATTGAAGCACATGATTCTTTGAAACCATAAAATTTGATAACGAAATGAACTCATCCTGGTAATAAAAACGATCAAAAGAACATTAACAAATGCATGAATTCTTCCTATGATATCTTTGAAGCACATGATCCTACGGTTTGAATCTGAACAATAAACAAATAAATACCAAAAAACTCAACAAACAAATGTACTCTCCTTAATTTCTGACTCTGTTGATGCCCTAATTTCTCATAACTTCTGGGTTGCTGAAGAAGAATGGAGGAAGCCATTGCATATATATATGTATATATGTATTAGAACTCAAAATTGAAGGATTGTAGATGCAGAAACTCTGTTTGAGTTTTCAAATAATGGGTTTCTAAACCAAATTAAGGCCAAAAGTGTAGTTGCAGGGTCAGGGTGGTGGTGTGTGGAGTGTGAGAAGTAAGAACTGCTTTGCTTTTTTTTCTTCTTCTTCTTCTTATTCTTCTTCTTCTTCTTCTTG